ATGCTGGAGCGAATGATGCGGATAGAGAAGCGAATGGTTTTCTTCCTCAGGTCGGATAGGACGGACGCCACCGTCGACGGAGTTGCTCTTTCGGAACGTGACAGAAGACTTTTAGTGGCGGGGAAAACCATAAGACGTTCAAATGACAAAGAGTCAGCATAGGCGATGGTCGACAATATAAAAGATCGATGTAAATCGAACGCGAATTGCCACTGTGCGGAAAATTATTTGATGATATGCAAACTCGACACCGATCGATTGTTACAGCAGATTTATCAAAAGGACATTTGCATAGCCGGATTGAAACAGCGGCTGAAAGTGGCAACGGACAAGACGGAGGACATGCGAAATCAAGTTTCGCATATGATCGACCAAGTAGACGATCTGGAAATGGAACTGAGTAGTCTCGAAGATAGGTTAGAAAGAGTTCAGGAGAAGAACGTATAAATGTGTACGGGAGGTCTGTTTTTCGTTTTCTCCACAACAGGGCAAACAAACAAAAAAAAATGAATATCGTGGAAGTGCCCGTCATGGTTCTTTCCGACATCGTTCGCCGCACGGGCACGGACGCGATCGGAAGGCTCGAACTCGCCAACGTGTGCTCGGAATTCGAACGAGCCGTCGAATACAAGACGCCGAGAAACTCGGTCGTCGAGGAAGTTCTGAAAGCGATGGAGTGCGACAAGGTGCGCGTGACTCGGGAACGTTGCACCGTCTGCTGTTCGACGACATCTTCGACGCGGGCTACCGTCCACGGGGAATGCACGTGTCGATCGTGCACGACGAGAAGGACGCCGAAGAACATTCGATTCACCCGTCGTTACCGATGATAATGCTGGCGCGCCTCGCCTCGCTCACATTGCACAAGGCCAACCTGTCCGACACCCTGTTCGGTCGGGTCATGAACAAGTTGGACGGTCTGAAGTACGTGGAACTAGACGACTGCCGAGGCGATCCGTTCGGGCCGAGGGCGAAGGTAACGAGAAAGACCGTGCCCTGGACGCTGAGATTGGTCGACATGGAATTTTCCCTGAAACAGTTATACGACACGTTCAGACCGGAGGAGGGAGAAGACGCTCATCTGAGATACGTAGCGTGGGTAGGATGCAAGATACATCGAAAGCGAGGAAGGATGATGGAAGATTGGTTTAAAATTTACACCGACTTTTACGAGGAAAATGTAGAGGACGACACCGTGAGACACGCGAATTTGGTGGCGGTGAGCGATCGGTGGGAGAAAACGGAACCCATGGAAATATGTGCGCGCAGGTTGTTGATATCGATGGATGACCCGGAGAGTACGAGATATCCAACGCTGAGCAGATTGGCCTTCGAAAGGCTACTCGATAACGACGAACTTTTCGACGAAATTGACGTGTTGCGTTTCGGCATAGACAAGCGTGACGGTCCGTTGGACGCATCGTTGGCGCAGGTATTTCAACTGCAACAGAATCTGAGAGATGTGAGCATTTACTACACCGAGATCACAGACGAATTCTTCGAACAATTGATTAACACGTGCGAAAACTTGACATATGTCAGCTTATTCTGTTGCCAAGGACTCACCTTCAAGAACGTTCGAATTGCCCCAAGAAAAGTGCAATATCAACTTTCTCTAACCACCATGAACTTCGATCCCGTAGCTTTGATGAACGCATGCGCACCTCATCCGCAATCCTATCCGCTGCTACAGTTGAACCTCACAGCATGTCACTTCGACAAAAAAGTGATGGTGAATTTGATAAGGGAACACGGATGGTTTCGTGTATTCGTAAAGAACGTTTTCACCCAAATGTGGAAAGACGTACGTTTGCTTCGTGATGTGTAGATGATGGCTTAACGATAAAATAAACTGGACACGAAAACAAAAACAAACAAAATATTTCTTTTCTTTTCTTTTCTTTTGTTTTATTCTGGAAACTTTAGATTTAACAGTAAATTTACAGGTATACGATAGATAGGTATGCGCTCGTCGACAAACATGCAACACGTCCATTTCAATCGTTCGTCGGCGCGCTCGTAAGATAGAGTCTTGTCGTGCCATCTGAGTCTGCAGTCGATCCACGTGCACGTCCAAGAGAACGGCTCCGATCTTACGACCACGGTTCTCTTCTTCGACTTGATGGTCCTGTGATATATACCGCAAGATCGACGGAACGCGTTCACGATTCGAGTTTCGGCTTCGGACACAAGTACCAACGGGGATAGAAGTCCTCGGACGAATTCGTTGGCTCTCTTTCCCTCCTTCCAGTCTCGTATTACACGACCGACCAACGTCAGACCCTTTCGAATGCGTACGTTGTACGTCGACTGCGCGACGTTGAACAGGTGCAGGTGGACTGCCGGAACG